TGGTGCAGTGCCAGGCCAGGAGGGGAAACTCTGGGCCAAGTGCAATGTTTTCAAAACTGTCTTGATCATTGAAAGTGACTTTGAAAAGCACCTGAGAAAGGGATGGGTGGGTGCCTGTGGGAGCTTGGTGCCGCATCATCTCCAGTCCCTGTGAAAACCATTGCTGCGTGGCTGACTGTACCGTTCAGAATCTGCACTTTTCTTATTAGCTGAGGAGAGCACCTGAGTTATGTTTTCTGGTGTCTTTTTTTACCCCTAGGACAGCAGGGACTGGATTAGGTATTGGCAGAGACCAAGATCTGTGATGGTTTTGGCCAACAGAATACCTTGGTGGGATGGGGCTGTCAGAGTGAAGAATGAAGGATATTCACAAGGAGAGAGGAAGGCAGCTTTACTGAGGCAGTGGTTTTATAGATATTGAGGAGCTCCCGATCCTACGGGCTTTCCCATCTTTTTTGCTTTCTGCAAGTTGGTGAGGAGATACCCCCAGGGACCTTTCTGCTGTTCAAATGAGATGTACATGAAACTGTTATCCAGACTCCAGGGAGATCTGCATTCCAGCAAAGTAGGAGTGAGCTCATTGGTTGGGAAAAATGCTCCTTCCCTCAATTGCAAAGGGTATAATAAAGCGTGGTGTGCCCTCAAATCTCATGGCTTTATTACCCTTAAGAGCTTTGAATTCATTTTGGCTTGAGCAAATCCACATCCTGATTAAAATCCCAGTCTAATAAGCTGTTGACTCCAAATAAAGGCAGAATAGGAATAAACAATGAAGAAAAGTTGGCTCTTCCTCCTGCCCCAGTGGAAGGCTTTCTCCAGGCAGGCAGCCAGCAGTGATATAACCCCGTAAAGTGCTGTAGACTGGTAAGAAAGCTGGGATATCAGCTGAGCGTTCAACCAAAATGAGCTCATGCTGGCCTGCCGGCAAGTCCTGGGGTGAGGGTAAAGGCAGCTTGGACACTTTCTTAGCGTCAGATTAACACTTTGTTTGCTGATGGTATGCGACTGTACAGATGCTGTCAGATACTTTGGAGGCCATGTCATACAACTTTACCAGTTTTCATTGCAAACTGTGGTCAGCCAAGTTGTCCCCGACCTGCTGAGGTCTAGAAGCATGTTCTTGAATGGGTATTGTGTCTGACCCAATGCACAGTGGTTGTCAAGCCACATTTGGCGATAGGTAAGCACAGCGTCCGGGCCTTCCTTGTAGCAAATCGTGCTTCATCCAGGTCTCCACAGCTGCTACAGATGCTGTCTTGCAGGAGCCCTCTGTCCTCCTTGTGTCAATATGCAGAAAGTGCAGGTCCTTCAGCTCAAAAAAAGAATTTGTGAATGAAAGGAGAGGATTGTGGTTAGCTGAATAAGGCCTGTGAGGCAACGCCGAGCGATTCGGATTCTTACTGGGAGAGGGTGGTGGTGCCTGTGACAACCAGCCAGCTCACTGCAAGTCAGCAAACCAGTTGCAGCTGTGTTTGGGCTGCTCATCTGGTTTAAGAAGTTATTGAATTGGTGCATTGAAAGTACTGAAGTTCTTTATTTTAGCAGTAAGACCTTGCTTCATCTCGCTGCCTCTTTTTCCGTCTTAGTTTGGAAGTGATCCTGCTGGGAAGAGTTTGTGGTTCCTCAGGAGTCTCCTCACCTTGGTAGGTCATGCTGTGTCAGCCCTCTGAGCAGCAGAGTGACCTTTTGATTAGATTTTTTTAGTACAGCATTCGAGTAGGTTTGGTGGGCTCAAATAATTCAGTGTTGTGCTATCCATTTGAATCTCTTGGTGTTTGAGTTTCGATATTGGGCTGGGATGTTGATCGCATTCCAGCATCTGGAAAAATGTGCGTCTCTGTGGGAAACCTTGTGAAACTCTTAAGAGATTCTGTTATAAATACCAAAACATCAGCATCCGAAAAGCCTTCACACTTCATTATGTTAACTAGAGTTCTAGCAGGTCCGTTCACCTGAGCTTCTGAATGTATTGTTCCTGCTTCAGTGAACTGATACTTGCATTTCTGGTGGAAATGAGCAGGACATCAGAGTTAGAAGAAAAAATGAACATGCCCTTGTTCTGCTTAGTCAATCTGTTATCAATTAGTGAAGGCTGAGGTTTGCATCATTTGAGTGTTACGCTGGCATCTCGTCAAGGGTTGTCTTTGGTTTCTGCGAGCAACAAGCGAGGGACAGTAGATAAGTACTTGCTCAATTCTGTTATTTGCTTGTTGTCTTTCATAGACGAATGGAAAAACTGGGTGGGTTTTTTGGTGGTTTTTTTTCTGCATTCATCACCAGTTAAAGCCTGGTCATACGATCTGTGAATAACCTTGCAATTACTATGACTGACTGTGTAGCATCTTAAGGACTAGGAGGGTAATTTGCACCCCAACAAGTTTAAGTAAGCAAAACCTCAGAGCTGCTTATGGCAGAACAGATGGAGTTTTGAACCTTGTGGGTCTGAGTTCTTGCAAGCCCCAGCTCCAGGGCCCAGGCTGGCAGTGGTGCGGCGCGCTGCAGGCTGCAATTTTGGGATCTCTACATCAAACTTGATGCTGCAGCCATAGGTGGGATGGCCAAAGCATAGTTATTAACTTGGAATTTGTCTGTGTCTGGAGAGACTATAACTGCGTTTTTAAATAGAAGTGCCCTTTGACATTTGATGTATGCCTCTATTTAGGGGTAGGGAGCTGTCTTAGGTCACAACTATCAATAAGCATTTAGTAGACAGTTAAGTTGCAACAATGGAGCTTAATAATTTTATCTTACATATTTTCTAGTATTGCTGCAATGACTTTAAGTGGTCCTGTGAACTTCCCTGGTTGACACCCAGTGGTGGGGGCTGCATTGGCAGCTTTAGCAGTGTTTGGGTTGTGGTGCGGGTTGTTGGGTCATTCCTCTCTGATTTCTTCCTCTGTTCCCTACAGGTGTACATTATCAAAGTCAGCTGGTCCAGTGGGTCCACAGAAGTCATATACCGACGGTACAGCAAGTTCTTTGACCTGCAGGTAAGCGTTTCACCAGCTCTTGGGTTTTTGACTTTGGGGGGTCAAAAGCTGCGGTCAGTTGAGAAGAGTGGTTTCTGCCTTAACGCTAAGCATGCTTTTTGTAACCTACCAGAATATGTTTTGATCTGAGGGGACTTAGGTGCAATTTTGTACATCCTTGAAAAAAGCAAGAACAAGGCAACCACAAAAGCTGGACTCTTTGCTCCCGTGCCTCTCGGGGCTTTTGGATGTCCCGGTGTTAGAGCTTTGCTGTCACTCCCTGGACTGAATGCACGCAGGGCTGCGTAGGTGTGTCTGAATTCCTCCAACAGAAATCTGTGCAAGTGATGGGGTTTTTGTTGCGTTTGTTTGTTCGCTTTGAAGGGGGGGATTTTGTTAAAGTTAGGCCCAAATTCCATTCCCGCGGAACTAATACCGTGCCTTTCCCAGCTGCTATCACAGCAAAACAAGGCTGCTGCTGGAAAGCACAGATTCCCTGGGTCCGTGTCCCGCTGGCTAGCGTTTTGGGGAGCGGGTGCTGGGGAAATGCGTGGTGCGGTGCACTGCCAGCCTGGAGGGCAGCTGCTTCAGCAATTACACCCCAGTGCAGGGGGAACTGGGAAGCAAATGGGGCTGGAAGGGAGGGAGGAAGCTGGAAAGGCAATTGGGACAGGCTGCGTTGCAGAAAACTGAAGCCGGTGTTCTGGGTGAGCAGGCAAAGGGTGTTTTCCACCCCCTTCCTTGGTGGAGATGAGCCAAGGGGTCTGGCTGAGCTTTATGAGCTAAAGCACAAGCTGAGCTGCTGGAACAGGCTCTGTGCAGATGAGAAAGGAAAATGCATGAAGCGATCCATGGACCATCAGCAGCTGCCAGAAGAGTCACTGGCATGTCCCCCCAGCCTGTGCGTGGGACTGGGAGAGGAGCTGGGCACCCTCTGCCTCCAGCGACCCGCTCACGTGAAGGCGAGCATCCCTATATGTTTTATATACCCTTTCTAGGGTGCTGTGGTTGCCCAGGAACGGGAATGCCTTTCCTGAAATCGCTGTGTCCAGACACAAATGTGCTGCTAAAATTACAGTGCACGTGGGCCTGCCTAGGGAAGCAAACCCAGTGGGAACCCAGATGGCTTTCCCAGGTTCAGCTGGTCAGCTGGCGTCAGGTCAGCCTGCGAAGCCTGGGGTTGTGTGAGACGGCTGCTCACGTTGATGGTGCCCTGTCCCTTGCCCGACAAGGCTCCTTCTGCAGAGCTGTGGACGTGACCATGAGGGTGACCATGTTGAGTAACCCCTGGCCAGCCGTGGAGAGCCTAGCTGTGGCAAGACCCTGGGTGTCTTTACCCTGCCTTGTGCTGCTATCCCGCAGCATTGTGCTGCACAGGGCAAGGTAGGGTGGCGCAGGTGGCTGGTGGTGCGGGCAGGGGTTAAGCTGTGTGCAGCTGCTTGTGTAACCAAGGAAATATTAAAGTAAATAAACAGGGAACAGCTGTTGGGCAGCAGCCAGGGCTGGAAGGAAATGGAGCTCAGCGCTTCCTTCTCCGCAGCATCTCATCTTCACTGGTGCTCCAAGGTGGTGGCCAAGCTCATGCCATCATTTGCTGCAAGGATCTTTTGGGATTTATATGTGATAAACCAGTGCCTCCAGCTGTGCTGCTTCCCTGGCCTGCCTTGCTCCTCGTGGGGAAGGACATACAGGGAAATAGTGGCCATTCTGCATCTCTTCCTCGCTTTCTATCTTGACTGGAGCTGTGCACGCTCCTAGCTGGGAAGCGTCGTCACTGGAGGCTTTCTGGAGCCAGAGATTTAACCTGCCTCTGCAAAACACCCCGGAGCACCTTTAGAGGCAGAGGTGCTTTATGTATATATATCATGGTGCAGATGGGAAAGCTTAAAGCAAACATCTCCCCCCTTCCCTGTTCCCTGCAGCTTTTTCTTTAAAAAAAAAAAAAAAAAAAAGAGTAACCACTCCTTTTTGGCTCTATTGAAAGAATGAATGAAATTGTGGTTTTTCCCTTCCTTCCCCCTTATCGCACATGCTTCCTGGTGCCCTTATTTTAAACTTGCGGTGCAGTACAGTGGAAATTGGATTGAAAGGCGAGGAGTGAAACAGATCCTCTTAGCACAGTGGAAAAAAATGCTCTAGGTAGGCTTGGTAGCACTGACTGTTGCCATTGCTGGAGGCCTTTGTTATATGATTGTTGTATGATTCTATGCCAATTTTAGCTCTTTAGGCAGAAATTTTCCATGCTGGAAATTATTCATGCCTCCAGTTATTAAAAAAACAAACATAAAAAAACCCCAAAACCCCTCAAAATAACTGGTTGGCTAAAAAGGTTCAGCTGCTTCTGAAAACATAGTAAGAGGGAAAAATATTTTCCCTAGATCCAGTTCTGATGATCTTTTTGATGTGTTGGAGGAAGAATTGGAAACTTGAGTCGCAGGTGATCCCTGTGTCAAGAATCTGTCTTTCGTGTTATCCACTGAAAATCCAGCCAAATTTACTCATACTTAGGGCCTTGAGCAATCACAGTACATGCATGTTTAGGTAGAGATATTTTTTAATTTACTATCTCTGTTCCCAGTGATTCTGGCTGCACTTTCCATGCTTCTGCCAGAAGCTGATTGGGGTTTTGTTTTTTCAATAGCAGCTCTGGCCGTATTTGGGTGAAGATTGGTGCATCCTCTTTTGCTGTCAGTGACCCTCCTGCTAAGCCCAGGCAGGACGATAAGGAAGCCATTTGTTCCAAGTAGGAGAGAGGAGAAGAACTTCCTGGAGCAGGAGTGAGGACTGGTGAGGACAGGGTGGGCGCTGATGTGATGCTGCAGCGCAGAGCAGCCCAGGCATGGTCGTGTGAGTGGTTGGGGATTTTCTCCTGGTATTCCCTGTGGGGTTGCAGCTGAATTGCTTGTCACCTTCCATTGTGGCCAAACAATTATTTTAGGAGTAGGGCCAAGTAAAATATGTGCATGCTTACTACTGACAGTCTTGCTGGCGAGCCTGCTCCCACTGCAACCAGAGGGCAAAGTGTCCTTCCCTCCCCAGCTGGGCAGGAATGACACTCAAAACACAAACTGCCAGCTCAGCCAAAACAGAGGTGAAACTGGAGTTCTCCCAGTGCTGGTCTCTGCCTCTGTGGATGCAGAGACGTCAGACTAGCCACGTTCCCCACACTGGAACGGGGAATGTCAAAAGCCACCTTGCTGGTCACAGTCGTGCCGCAGGCTGTACTGCGTCAGCTGGGAGCGTTCAAGGTTTTGTCTGAATACTGTGAACTTCCAGAGCTCTTCCCTTTGGCTGTCCTTGATACTGCAAGACCAGCCCTCTTCTGCAAAAGTCCTGGTTTACAGCTCATGGCTGTTGCAGCCTTTCCAAGCACCATCCTGCTTTTCTCTTCCAAGGGTGGTAAGACCTCCTCCTTCTGCCTAATTACCCATTTTCATTCCTTTGACCACACCGTGGGCCATTTGCTGGTAGTGCAGGAGATTGTCACCTCCTCTCTGAGGGCCAGTGACCGACACTCGTTCCACAATTCTGCTTATATGTCCTAGCATGAGGCACAGGCTGCTTCCTCCTGGTCCTGGTCCAACTTTTTGAGCAAATGAAGTCATGGCCCTCATCCCTTGGGAAGCGCACAGGTTGTACCTGCTCTGGGGTCATCACAGGAAGGCTTGGCATACCGTGCCAGGCAGTGAAATTGGGAAGGGAATGCTTAAACCCAGGAATATGTCTGCCTTCTATACACTGCTTATTGCAGGAGGAAACCTTCAGGGACCTGCGCAGTGCTCAAGAGCATTTTTTGCTCTGTAGCTCCTCTGTGCTCAGGTTCCTGCCCCTTTTCCTCCTTGTTTTCTCCATAAATGTTTTCCATCACATGGCAATTTACATAAGAGCAACTTTTTAGGGATTAAAAAACAAACTCTAGATGAAATTGTAATTCTAAAGTTTGAAACCTTAGGTAACTGACTTGTAGTAAATCTGTAACTACAAATACTAAACTGGGTTCTGCTTGAATCTCTTGGCTAGAGGAATAATATTCTTCAAGTAGGATTGAGGCTCTTTCATAACACTCAGTATGCCAGATGCGAGCTATTGGGAGCAGATGGATGCTGTTCCTAAGAAATAAAGGCAATAAGATTGATGTGTGCAAGGATGTCCGTTGTATTCTGGACACTAATTGGGGCCGGCAGGTACGCTGGAAATGTTAGCTGGCATGGAAGTTGGTAATCAGATATGTGAGCAGTTGTCTCTGACAGACAGATAGAGAATGAGGGTCTTGTGTGCCTGAGAGATGCTTCCAGCCCGGCTGGCGGTGGAAGAACTGTGCAGGGACTGCAGGGCTCCGTTGGATCACATCGGATGTATTGCCTAGGAGGAGTTTAACACATCTTTTGGAAGGATCTTCTTGAAACTGTTGGCTGTAAGGAGTGACACTGTTGGTTAGAGAACAGATACTGGCTTGTATTTTGTGTTTTTTATGGAAACCCCAAAAAAGAAACATTTTTTCCCCACTCTGTAATTATGAGCTCATCTGCCACGATGGTAGTCATTTCAAGTCTTCATGTGACCAAGAGCCACTTTTGTCTCGCTGTGCTCCTAAAATGTCCTTGCACCCAAACTCGATCCTTTTACACCTTTCCTGCTATTACCAGACCTCTGTGCTTTCCCTGGGCAGGAGCCCTGCTCCATGTCCTCGGCCTCCTCTGCCTTTCTGCTGCAGCCACCCTCTCCTCGGCCAGGAGCCTTTGCCTCGCGCTTTTCAGTCCTGTCTCATTTTGTGGCCTGGACAGCAAAGCTTACAAGCTGCTTGCGAGCCGTGATGGATCTGGGTCTCAAACCTCCCACTTGGAGCAGGCTTTGCTGTTCGTGCCATGTCCTGCCTTCTCACCACTGGAGCAGTAGCTTCTCCTCTGGCAGGCAGCTGCAAGCCCTTAAAAATCAAATTGCCATTCAGGGGTGCCCTCCCTGGGGACAGGTTATGCCAGACTTTTTTCCCCTTGCAGTCAGAAACCTTGCCTTCAGTCCTT